TCGGGCGCGGTCAGTACTTGGATGGGTGACCGCCTGGGAACACCGCGTGATGTTGGCTTTTTTGCCGATTTTTAAGGCTATTTGCAAGGCATCTCTCAAACTGTTTGTTAGTTAATTTTTGTTTAAGGTTCAATTTTGAATTTAGTTATTTTATCGTGTAACAGTGTTATGCAAAATAAGCCGGATAATAGTGTAAATCAGGGGTTGCCCGCGACATAAATTAACAGCAACTCCGCCTGCAGAATTAAAAAGAAAAGTATTCTATCACATGCCTCTACATATCAGCTACCTTCCAGTAAAAGTCCCGTCAAAATCGGTCGGAACGTTTCGGAGATTACCCGGAACAAACTTCTATTGATCGGACGAACATCTTACTAATACAAATGTGAATGTTAAAGTAAATGGTATCTCGAGCATGGATCGCACTTAAATTTGGCATAGATGTAGAACATAGTCAAGAAGAACACATAGGCTACTATTTAAGTTTATTTATCGCGAACATTTATATTCATTTTCTTTTGTTTATAAAATAGCTTTATTTACTTCTGCAATATTTTCACTTAATGTATTGTAAGGATATTAATGTTTGTATTAACTTTGCGACTCCAATGTTGTTTAAGAGAACCCTTCTACCACCTTAATACCAGTTATCCGTAACCATATAAAAACCCGTTTTTCCTCAAGGTCAATGCCTCTGGTATATGGGCAAATGCTTCTACTAGTTAAATCTCTACGTCTATATTTTAATTTATAACTAGAAACGTCTGTTGTAATTTATAAAATACTTTTGACCTTGCCTTTGGCGATGGTTGCGCAAATTCAGATTGCTAATAATAATTCTGTTGCAAAAACGGCCAGGTCATTATAACTATTGAGTGCAATTTGTAAGCTTTTTTATATGTCTTCTACATCAGTTAATACAAAGAGTGATATAGTTAATAATTTGATAATGAACGGTTTTCCCCAAAAGTACCCGAGTTAAGTGTTATATTTTCGATGTTTTTATTTATAGATGTGATCTAGGACTTATCGTTGTTTTCTAACCACAAAATCCGTGTATAAACATATCGTAATCCCTCTCATTATCTTGTAAAAAACAGAGGTATACAGGGATTTTGAATTCAGAAGCCAACGATTAGATATAATATTACAGTTTATTTCTTTATTAAGAATTGGGAAAATTCCATTCAGTGTACGCAGAATTCGCTGGCGTTATTAATTTAGAACCTCACGCAAACATTGGATGAATGAACTAAAAATGTTATGGGATTTAAAAAACTGGTCTTAAATGGCAGTCATATAAATTTTAATTAATATTTGAAATGCTTATCCCTCAACTTGATCAGACTATATTTACCATATACTATATGATTAGCATTAATAAAAAAATATTTATGTCGTTTCATAATTTTTTTATCGTGTCGTAACAGTATTGAACAATAAATATAAAAAACTATTATATTGAAAATTATTTTAATGCCGTGTAGCATATGTGGTAAAAGCTTCTTTTTTCTGCGACTATTTAAAAAAAATAGTAAGTAACCTGAGTTCTTCAAGAGTATTATATATTCTACATCTGTGCCAAATTTCATCGAATCCTTTTAAGTACCTTTATCTGAGACCGTTTGGAAGACTCGTAATAACAAACATCCACCCCTCCGTCTAAACTTTGGCATTTATAATATTAGTACATTCATGTATTTATTTATTTTTCATATATTAAATAATAAATATATATTGTATTAAAAATAGCCAGCACCGGCTGCGGAATCCCTTGACTCAAACATCCAGTGGTCAGGGCTGCAGAGACAGGAACCTTCTCACGATGTGCGCGGTTTCTAGGATAACTGCCTTTTGTTTCGGGCCCTTAATCCAACTTTTAAGCGAGAGCTTCTTCAAATGTTGGTCGAAGCTCTTCGCTATCAGTCCATTAAATGATACGACTATCGGAATAATGGTAGTCGATTTCATACGCCAAACGGCGGTAACCTCGTGAGCCAATTAGTATATTATTAATATGTTTCTTGTTAGTTTAAATTGACAAATAACACACTTCAATTTATTCACTAGGTTTGGAAACTTCCTTTGTTTCGGCATTCGAGATATCATCCTCATACTAGTTAAGTCAGCGATATTCGCGGAACTACACCTGTCCGTAATGACAAGCCAGTCCAAGCCTGGCACGGTTAATTTGAAGGTATTTATATTACAATGAACACAACACATTAGAAATCTTACTTATAAATGCCAGTGTTAGGATGGATGGATTTATTAGAAGGTATCTTAAGAACAGTTCAACGGATATCGATGAAATTTGGCCTGGATGTAAAACAGTCTAATAAAAACAAAGGTTATTAATTATTGTTATTTAACTGCGCAAAAAGAGTCGTGGGCGACAGCTAGTTTTATTATAAATGATTTCAATCCTACCAGTAGAGCAGGGGTCATCATTTCCTGTTCCGTTTTCTACTAAATACTTATATGTACGGCATATATGTAACCTTCTTCAAGATTCCTAGGTAGTTAAATGCATTCTTGCATGTTGTTTAAATATTTGCTATAAAAGCTTCAATATGTAGCACGCGGCATCACTTGCTATGTCACGTATACACAGTTGGGTTTTATATCTTTGGCATAAACAACATAAACAATGTTTCTTTTCTGTAAACTTAAGAATGTTTTTAAGCAAAAATCACCACGAACGATTTTTATTTACTTATAAGGTCTAGGTTATTTACTAAAGGAATGGTTTTCTAGTTAAAAAGAAATAATAACAACGTGATCTTAATCGCACATTACATCATGTTCTTAGAACGCTCTTGTGTTAAAAAAGTGGATTTCGATGTACTGTAAAAAGATTTGGCTTTTGTTATTATGTTGTATTAAAAATTTGGCTAGTTTTTTTTAAATAATTGTGCATGTCTTACTCAGAATTGAATGCAAACGTAATGTTTTATTGATTGAATAAAATTGTGTTTTTCCACATATCCAATGTTTCCATCAATGCCTGATATAAATATTATCTGCGCAGTCACTTGTTTTCCTTGCAATTGAACTCTACTGTGACTTCACGTACACGAGTCCTAAGTACAACACAATTTATGTGATTATGCAGTATTGACGTGTTCGCCGTGAGTTTTCACTGCGGAAACACTAGGGCAAAAACATATTGTTTTCTCTCTACTGTCTCAATGGAAAAACTGAAATAACTATATGTTTCGTTGGGGTGTTTTATGAACAGTCTTGATGGTATTTCGAGAAACTGACGGTAACGGATTAATTCGTATTTTGTTGCTCTGTTTGATCAATATTGAGGACAGAGTTTTCATACTCGGAGTGACACAAATGTAGATAGCCAGTTAGTCTAGTAACTACCTGTTTACAAAAGAAATAATATTTTTTTTCAATTTAATTTTTTATTCGTTACTATTCTTCAGATAACTTTTACATTGCTTTTGTAAAAAATAAGCTGTAGAAAGAAGGTTTAAGATAACTATTGGCAGCAGCATCTTTCAACGTAAAAGACAAATTTAATCATAATTTTCATGAATTGCGCTAAGTTGTAGAAAAAGTTCTTTTCCTTGTACGTGGGATTAAACATTGTGGTTCTTTTTTGGGTACAGATTATTACATTTTAAAATTTATTTTCAATATTCTCTTTTTTTTGTCATACAATTTTTCATTTTCCGTAGATTTATTTCAATTTTTATCGTTTAACTTTTTGAGCTATTATTTCTAAATCGATTTCACAAATTTGATAGCAAGGTGTGGTTGTTTTTTTCGTAGCTACAAATATTATTTTTGTATTAATTGGTGTTTCCTCGTTGACGCTGTTGTAAACAATGTACAGAGTATGAGAGAGTCCAGGTGGAATTCTACAGCATCTTGATTTCGATAAGTTCTGGAACTTGAGGTTTTCTATTTCTGGATAGATTTTGTAATATTTTATTAATACAGGTTCTAATGTCAAATTACAAAATTTTACATCGTTTGTTGTGGCCACTCCCCTTTTAGATTCCAATGTTACTTGTTGAGGGTAAGACACCAGACTATTCTCACAGATATAAGAAGCCGATTTTTTTAATGGACTAGAAAAATATTTTGTAATTTCAACAAATTTTCGTACTTCACATTTCAACGCTTCATTAATTTCAATCCAATCTTGCAAATCATTGCTAAGCCTCTTTTCCTTCTCTCCGCCAATTTGTTGACGGACACCGTTACTGTACAACAATTTTATGTCTGAATTTGCCTGCATTACCAATTTATTGAGGTTATGTGTTTTATTAGACGAGAATTTATGAAATTGTAACACTTTGTCAAATTTGACAGCATATGTCAATACTTCACTCATTTCTACAGATTAAAAAGGTACAACAGATAAAACATATTTTTATTGTCAAGTTTCTTGTTTTTTTTTTTGTTTATAGAACATTTGCTGGTTATTTAAAAGATGTAATATTTCTTATAGCCATTTCAATTCTGATTTATGATTTATGCATACACAGAACCTCAGCTGAATCTTGGATTCAAATCCATGAGCACTTCATCGGCAGTCTGTACCTGTAACGATGAGTCTGTTTACGGTTAAAATTATTTAGTAATATACCTACATAATCTGAGTACCTATTATTTTTAATTATAAGTGCATGGAAGTAAACAATTTTGTAAAGTTTTTTTCCGCGCTATTCAACGCTGGTTTATTTTATTACAACATAATAATTATTTCACTATAACAACGTTGGTATTCGTTATGTAAAATACTATTAATTATTTCGATCGGTCTGAACTCAATAAGAGGTTAAAGATCGATCTTACGGTCGGAACCTACATATAAATAAATCTGGGTAAATGCGTCATTAAAAAAGTGCTTTAGTTTTCTATGTTTTTTAATTAAATTTACACCTTTAAATAATATTTTAATTTGGTAATTTAAACCTGAATAATCTATAAATCGGTTAAAACACGTAACGTTTTTATTTGCACTGCATACTTAAACATTTTATTTGTGTATTTTATTTACGACAATTGGACGTTAATAACGTTTTTTTTAACTGAAATACAGTCTTAATAAATATATCAATTGGTTAATATATCACGTCCATCGTTTAAACAAGGATGTACCAGTTTTGTATTACGTGACGTAGACCAAAATAACTAAAACTAAAAGCTTCGCGTGTCTTCGTAATTTTACAAAAATTTGCATTAGCTTTTTTTGCAACTTTTTTGTAATTAGATACATCTTATAGTATTAGCGTCATATTTTAGTTGGGAATAAATCATTATTTATGATAAAACCTGCTGTCGCCCGCGACTCCGTCCGCGTGAAATTAAGAAAAAGTTAGTTCCCGGCAATTATTCGAATTTTACTCGCGATAAAAACCATCTTTGAACTTCAATGAACATTTTAAAAAAAGAATTGGCCAAATTGGTCCAGTTGTTGTTAGGTGCTTACGAACACATTTTGCGATTCATTTTTATGTTATAGATTTAAATCAATAAATTAGTAACTTCCTAAACTTTTTTCTTACATTTCGAAGACTCATGTAAAGTAGGTTAGTATAAGTACGGTGTTGGTTGATAAGAGTATTCTTTAAGTTATGTACTAACAACAGCTTGTGTCAAATGCGAATAAATCTTTCTTAATTGCAAACTAAAATAATTAACTACTGTTTCGAGTATTGTTTCTAAGATGCTACCCATAGTTTAAAGACAGTTTTAATATTATTATATAGAAAGAACATATTCTTGCCAATTGAAATTCAGATAAGTAGGATCGTAAATTTATTGACACTAACTTAACCTCGCAGACTATTAAGTATTAATTTCGATTTATTTAGAAATATATACTAAAACACTGCTTAAGTGTGCAGTTTATGTGAGCGGTTTTGAAACATACTAAAAATTTGTAATTGGAATTAGCCGGTTGACCCGATGTAATCCTACGACCTCACAGAAGACAGGCGTGAAGTGGAAGTAGATCCGCATTTCGTCCGATGAGTGTGGTACCGGAGGTATTTTAGTCCTCTTTTCTTTCCTTTATGGTTATAAGTAAATGATGAGAAGCGGAAGTGGATTTTCCGGATGAGGAAATGCATGGGAAGGAAAAATAATCCTTGTCTGTGCATCCCCTTCACCGACGATTTTAATCGTCTTACCTTTAGGTAAGCAATGCATCTGCAATTACGGATGTCTACAGGCAACGGGCGCTTTGCGATTGGTGGCCACTCGCTCTTTTGCCAACTCATGATATAAAAACAGACTTTTTGTTTTTAACATGACTAGTAAACGCATTAGGAGTGTGACGTCAGTAGTAGCTATAAATTAATAAATTATTCTCGTAGCTCAAGCAAGTCGAATAAAACAAAAAAAAATGAAGTTTTTTTACAGAATCCGTAACTTGGAAGGTTATTTTAGCTTTGGTTTGATTTGGCAAAAAAAATTATATTTGATCTATTCGGTTACCTTTAAGTTTTAATAAGGTTAAAAGTTTTGACAAATAAACTTTAAAACAAGAAGGTATAACAAACTCTTATTTACGACGTCCATTTGAACGGTTAGAGTCCCTCTTTGACAGTCTAGTAAATATTTGGTAAAGTAGGAAACATGGACAACTGGTACCGTTTAATTTAGAAAACACAAAGACAGTTTCTGTTGATGTCGGGGTATGCGGTAGCTTAACGCTGATTTGCCTTGGAGATTCATGACTTGGAATGTCCAGGACATTTCGTTAACTCGAGTGTTTTATCTTATTTACAGTGTATCTGTAACAGTGGTAGAGCCCGCTTTAACATCTTCGCACGAATTGACCCGGCTCGCCCGGTGAAATACCACGAGCACACAGAAGACAGGCGTGAAGTGGAAGCAATTCTGCGTTTCGTCTGATGAGTGTACGTCCCGGAGGCCTAATTTAGTCCTCTTTCCCTTCCCACCCTTTTTCTTATGGGGAAGGGGTAGGAAGTGGAAGTGGACTTTCCGGATGAGAGGATGCATGGAAGGGGAAGATATTTTCTTTCTGTGCATCCCCTCCTCCGTCGATTAAAGGTACGCAACGCTTATGCGATTGCGTATGTCTATGGGCAACGGTCACTTCGCTATTTCAGCGATTTCAGGTGACCGCTCGCTCGTTTGCGACCTTATGATATAAAAAATTGTCTATAATACTTCGTTTATAAAAACAAAAACACTTAATTATATTATACAGAAGAACTTGTATAACACATTTAATAATATATATTCTATTAAAATATAAACACTATCACAAAGTGGAAATTTTATCTGCAAGTATTTCACAACAATTTTTTTCAATATTTTGCATTCCATCTCTGGCGTAGGGACGCAAATATTCCAGTCGTTACTGGGATTTTCCAGATGAACCTAACCTGTTCATTTTTAATCTGAAGAAATGCCACAGTTAATTGTATTAATCATACTCCTTATTTACGATAAATACAAAAGTTTAGACGAATGGTTGGATATATGTTTGTTAGAAGGTATCTCCGGCACTACTCAGCAGATTTTGATGAAATTCAGCACAGATGTAGAACATAATATGGAAGAATATTTAGACTACTTATTAGTTTTTTTTTAATTCAGCCAGGACGGAGTCGCGGAGGATATAGTTATACTATTATTGGTCGCCCATCTTCACATTCATCTGTTCACGCCATTATAAAGTTAAGAACATAGAACTAAAAATATTGTATATCGGGTTCAAGCTAGTTTTCATAATGGAAAATTTTGGATTTTACGCTTGACCGTCGAATAAAGCCAGTTATTATCTGTTCTTGTAACTGTATTATAAAATACACCTTGGCCTTTAGTAAACTTTATAATCTCAAAAGATTTGATGTAAAAACAATTCCGTAATTCTTAAAGAAAATAAATCTTACTAATATTATAAATTTGAAAGTTGAGATGGATGGACGGACGGAGAGATGGATGGATGGATATTTGTTTCAAGGTATCTTCGGAACAAGTAAACGGATTTTGATGAAATTTGGAACACATTTAGAACATAGTCGTGAAGAACACATAGGATACATATTAAGTTTTTTTTTAATTCCACGCGAACGGAGTCGAGGGCGACAGCTAGTTTATTAATAATTATCATACTAACAAGATATATTTGATGTTAAAACTTAAACGGTTTCACGTAAATATTTTCAAATTTAAAAACCATTATGAATCTCTGTTTGGGTATCTGATAATGTAATCGATAGATTAACACTATTTATCAGTTTTGGAAGACTTAAAGCGACCGACCAAAGACGGTATTAAGTTGTAACTTTAACCATTTTAATTGTTATTAATTGCTTTGCGCTATGAATCTTTGTTGGGATTTTACTAAGTCTAAAATGAAACTTGATTGAGTTGCGGCTGCACTGTTCACGACCCTACTTACTGTTAGGACTAGGTGACTTCACGGTCAATACGTCAATTAATAGACTGATAAATGCTATAAACATTTATATAACTTCTATCTTGTTGATTTACTCTGACTGTGGAAGTGTGGAATAACAAGTTTAGCTCGCTAGTGCATGCCACAACCAGTTGATTCATATTTAAATAGTCAATTTTCAATGTCGCACATTGAAAACTTAAAATGCAATAATATCTTTAAAATGTATATAGCCGACGGTGCACATCTTTTTATTACGTGACCAATATATTTGATTAACATATATAGATCAATGTTAAACAATAAAATATTTTATAACAACGTAAATACTATCATCGTAAAAAAGTTTAAAACTTTGTCGTACCATGAATGTAAAATAAAAAAATAAACATATTATACAGCTACACGTTCTGTTTTAAAAGAACAGTCTGAATGTTTAGGTTTTTATGCTATAACTAGCTGTCGTCAATACTGTAATTAGTAGCTTATGTGTTCTTCCAGACTATGTTCTATATGTATGCCATCATCGGGATCCATTCAGCCGTGCTGTAGATACCTTCAAACAAACATCCATCCATCCAAACATTCGCATTTATTATTTTGGTAAGATGTGGCAAATGAACAAGCAGACATCTGAATTTACTTAAATAGGGAAGCCACTGCTGCCCAGAGACATCTGTAATTGCAAGTTTGTTGGCCTACGTTAAATCGATAAACGAAGAAATGCAAAGACAGAGAATATTTTCATCAAATCCACTTGCCCTTCTCCTTTCGTTATAAGAAAAAGTTGGGGAGAGAAAGAGGACAAAAATTAGGCTGGCGCGCATTTTTTAGAAGATAACAGTGGTAAAGCCCGCTTAACATCTTCTCAAGAATTGGCCGGTTCGCTCTGTGCAATACCACGATCACGC